ACTAAATTCAATTTAAAACCCATAGGATTCTAGGCTCTGATACCATAAAAATTTTTCTCAGATTTATTCAATAGCCAATAGCCTTATTTATACAAGTCAATAACTTGTCTAGCAAATTCTTTATATATATGAAATAGAAAATATAATTTATACACAAATATATTAAGTTTCCTAATATCTTATATTGACAATCTTCTGGAAATCTTCCTTGTTTCCATAATCTTGATTGGTCATCTTAATCGTTCAATCTCGGTCGATCTCGACCTCTCGATCTCCCAATAGACTCTAATCTAATCAAATGAATGGAGTGACTTTATATGAAGGATCATATCTGCCATATTGTTAGTTTCTTTTTCTTCTAGTTATTTGATTTACAAGATCATGAAAGACTTGTTTTGTTTCATATATAATAACATAAATATGTTTTTTGCTCCTATGGAATCCTTGTTTAATTTTGCCCATAGCAGGTTATCCTGTTTTCTTCAAACAATACTTGTGTTTCCATGCAATCTTAAAACATTCTGGGATTGGAGGATTGATCCTAGCTATAGACAAGAACAGCGCGAAATAGAAAGTAGGTCATAAGATAGAGAGAGTAGCATTTGGATGTTTTCTTTTGATGTATAGTGATAATCAATGAAGTATCATCGTCATCGTCATTGCAGGGATGTTTTAGTCCGCTATGGGTAGCGTTTTCGATTCTTATAGAAGTATGGTTTGTGTTTGTGGGGATGACCTTCACGTCCTCTTATTCTTGCTCCCAAAAAGCAAGGAGAAGTAAAACAATATCCTAAAGAAGAGACCCCAAGCTAACGTAATCCACAAGCAATCCCACTTGCTCAATCTCATTATACCTTGCTGCATAAGTTAGCCCGGCCCTGTTCTCAAGCATGTGGACTCGGTTATCTTCATCGCATCGGGTACCCCCGCCAAAAGCGTACCATCGAATACTTGGACTCCCTTAACAAAACATCGAGATGGGTCATCAAACTCATTGATTAAGACGGCCTCGTAGGGTACTTCAACAGTGAAATGAGTGGAACCATATCCTGATTGGTTAAGCCAAACCTTTTAAGAATATTTTTAAAAATACACATCACTTCTTTGGTTTGTTGCATAAAAACTAGAAATTTTTTGAAATACACATCACTTCTTTAAATTTCTTCTTGGCATTTTGTTGGTCAAGGAGTAAACAAGTCGACATAATTTGGCTTGAGCATTTAAATCTGATCTACCAATTTACCATGTAAGACGGTCTTGGAATTTATGGAGCTCTAGGACCCAAGATTAATGTTATCTCAATTGTGTTCAGGGCACTGCGAGCAGTATCATTCAACGTTAGATTAATTATCAACTAAATTTTTGTTTAATGCGATTCCCCTGTATATGATAAACTCGTGTGTTCTTTTAAATCTTGTTTGGAAATATGATTTGAATATCATCGGTGGTTCAACTCAAAATTACTGATTAAAATTTTAACCCAAATCATATACAAATGAAAGAAAATAATGTATTGGTGGCTGAATATTTTGGTGAGCTAAAACCCATTCCAAGTTAATAATCGGATTGAGATATAACCGGATTGTGATCATTATTTCAGATTAACATCTACCTATTGATTTGAGTTATTATACTTCGATTCTTTTAAATTTTTAATATCCAACAAGTCTCATAATTTATTTTCCCTTATGAACCAAAACTTCCAAAATCTTTGCCTAAAATTTCTTATGACAATAGAGAAAAAAAAAAGCTACGTGGGTTTGGCAGATTTGTTCGGGACAATCTCAAGAATCAAAACCAACTATTGATAGTACAAACTTGATTCGTTGGGTAGTTTGATCTTAGTCCATGAAATTCTTTAATTATTATTATTCTTAAAAGTGAAAGAAAGCATTCGGTGAGAACTAATCATCAAGCCCCCCCCAAAAAAAACAAGAAAATCTTCCATTCTCAGTTCTCATTGGCCAATTTATCCCCAACAGAGATATCTATAGCTTCATCTTGATCAATCTTTGTTTCCTCTTCTTCGATCTTATTGTTCTTCATCAGCTGACCTAATCTCTTTGCAAGACTCAGCCTAGCCCCAGGAGACACACCTTTCTTCCCAACGATTGATTCAAGAACTGCCTCTGCCAACAACTTATTCTCGATGACAGCTTTTCCGCTTTCAGGAATGCTATCGTCTTTCGAAAACGCAATCTGTTAATTCACAACAAAGAAATGTCACTGAAAGTATTCAAAACTATCACGTATACACTACCATTGTTTCAAACGTCAATTATAAGTTTTCTATATAAAAAAAAAATCTACGACGTTTTTCCTTTGGCTTTTGCATGAAACCTAATCTAATACGGATTCTTTGGTTCGATTCGGTTCGGTTTTTATCAAATGTACCCTAATGTTTTCAAAAGAAGATTAGCT